ATTATGAATGTAAATTACAAATAAACTCTCTGAGTGAAGCGGCCATGTTTTAACATACAGTTATGAAGTCAATCTTTTTGTTTGTTTGTGTGTTGTTTTTCCTACTACTGCAATTGCTTCAAATATTCAAAACTTTTGCTATAACAACTTTTAATTTGACCAAAAATACAAATATCTTTTGAATGCAACACTAAATCAGCGTTTTGGGCTGGAAATGTGATGTAGAAGTGATAAGGAATTAGCAAACAATTGTTAACAAAACTATAACTCATATATAAAATAATAGCTGCATGTGCAATGTTTTTGTTGCACAATTTGAAATGCTATTCTACGATGAATAGTACACGTTGATATATGTAGCTGTTAATATTATTGTAAACCTCAACCTAATAAAATGTCATTTGTAGGACTTGGCGACATCTAGTGCTTGTTGTACTGCACTGCAAACGTCCACACTATCGCCTTATGAAGTGAAAGCAGAATCCAAGAAAAATTGTGTGACGATCTATGTTTTTCTAGTTCAAAGTCAGTAATACAGAACTGCTGATGTGATGATGGACATCAGACTGTGTTCAATGCAGGAGGCAACACAAATTCAAAACAGCACCCCCTCTGATGGGCTCTGTCCTCCTGATGCTAATAAACCAAAGTGAACAGACTGGCAAGCATGCAACTAAAACACCGTCAAGGTCTAGACTATATTATAAAGCTAGTTTCAACTCCATTAATCCACCTCATTCACTTCGCACAACTGTCTCTCTTCTATGAATATGGTATTGCAATTTGTGACACTGTGTCCTTGGTGACACTCAGAGCCAGGTGCATCCCCATCAATATGAGCCAAAAGAGGGAAAAAAAATTAAACCGTCTCAAAACATATACTGTTGGAGTGCAGTGATTTAATATACTGCCATAAGCCCTTGCTCCTACACTCGACATGCAATTTGGAAATAAATTGACTGATTTAGAGGCATGGGGAGTCGTGGGGGAAAAACTGACATAAACCTGGGGTGCTGCTATTGAGTAAGGTGACATTGCGCAACAAATCACCTGCATGAATAGAGAAAGAAAACGATTTCTATTTCTAAAAAGTAATTTTGTTTGGGGAAAGGTGCTTTGATTGCCATGTATGTGAATCTATTCCTCACTCGACGCGAGGAGCATGAACATTTTATGAAAGTCAATGTTATATTTTGCTGTTAGCATAATAATCACACTGGCCAGACTTTCATCCAAAGAAGAACAGAATCTCATTTATTCCAAATACATAATGGAAGACCAACTGCGGCAGCCTATCTCTGCACAGCTTTGTAAACTGCAGTGTAGGAGCAGAAAGGGTTGACTTTTGCAGCAGCACAGTCAATTGTGTTTTAATTGAGCCAAATGAAGAATAATTAAGTAATTAAAGGCCTGATAAGAGAAAGGCGTAGTAAACAAATAAAGGAATTAACAGTACGGCAAAGATATTAGACACACCTACAGTACGGCATCACCAAAATAAAGACAGGAAAAAAAAAAGAAAAAAAATACTTTGAATGGCCCATCAGTCTGAATGTCACTTCTCTGAAAGAAAATGTGGCTGTGGTAATGCACATGGTCAGATTTTCAAATGTAATACTTCCCAGCTGGATTTTGGGATTGGGAGTGCACTCTGATATTTTCACCACTCTGACATTAGTGGCTTTTATTTTTTGAGTAATTGCACAGCTTGATGTGTACTCAGGGTTTCCATGAGAACCATGATTTTTTTTTTCAACACAGTTGCAATTATAGGGGGGAATATGGAAATACATTTTCATAGCCAGTTCACAGTTGAGTTGACTGGAATAATGGGAACAGAAAACGGAAACAGGGTTGAAAATGGTGAAAATGCCCATTCAGAGCTCAGCCGTCTCTAAAGTGGCAGCCTATTATGAAAAGAATCCACACAGTTGAAATTGTTTATTACCCGCTACGTGTCAAAAAGTGCAGCATATTTAAATGACTTTAAAATGGCCCATGGTACCAGATTTTCCCAATAAGTATCATTTATTTATTCAACCTACAGCACCTATAATCTGTGTGGGCATCGTATGCCGGTTGGCCGTGATAATCCATTCATCCAGAAAAAGGTACAGAAATTCATATTTGTTTTGTAGGATTAAAAGCTCATATGGAAGGACTGTGGCAATCATCCAAACCAGCTGGGACAGAGTTTTCAGCTGTTTTGTAGATAAAGAGCTATAACCTCATGAATAAAAAATATCAAAATAATATTTATAATAATACAGACCAGGTCGGGTCCTATCAAGGTTTAATGTAATAACCAAGAAAAAAGAGGCTGTATATGGAATGGTGGAGTAAACAAAAAAACATTAACCCTGAGGAACCATCTCTATAGGGTTGGTTACCTATGAAACCAACTGTCAGTTATCAAACATATGAAATGTCAGCACACACGTCAACAGAGACCAACAGAGCTAAACACCAGGAGAACCTCCATCGTCTGTGTGCCTCAGACACATGTTCACGGCTGAAACCAATATCCTGAACCTGGTCAGTGGATGACTTCAACTGTTTACCACAGCAGCTCTCCTTGTTAGGCTTTTAGCACAATGTAATGAAGTGAGTCTATAATTTCATCAGTTTTCTGTTTGCCAGTTAGTCCAAACCTTTAGAAAGCTCATGTCTAATTTTCTTTATGTAAACCAAGGCTGGAATCGACCTTTGAACCTTTGAAAAAAATTTACTTATCAGTTTGGCTTTTGACAACAATAACATTTGAACAACTGATTGTTTTGTTTTAGTGAAATACCAACACTTGGGCTACCAAAATGTCATCTTTTTTTAATTTAATTTTACAAAAATGAATTGGTTTCCAAAACAACCTTTAACTTTTTTGTAGAGAAAACAGCTTAAAGTAAATCATGTTAGAATGCTTTATGTAGCAAGACTGAGGGTTGTTGTTTTTTTCTGTTTTTTCATGAGCTACATCAATGCTGTGGTAATATTTGATGAGCTGTAACACAACTGGCTGTCTAAGACAACTGAAGAAAGAATGTGCTTGTTAAATTTGTGAAAGTAAACCAAGAAACAGAGGTCATTTTGAGACCAATGTCTGTTGGTAACTACTATGGACCACAGCTTGTTAGTAGGTTGTTTTAAGCACAATTACAGATCTGGGTCAAACGTGGAAAATTATATATTTTGGAAAATAAACAAAGAAACTAAGCCTTCATTAGCTTCAGTCCAGACAACAATTAAAACTACAGTGGAAAAGTAGAGAGGGAAAATAAAAATATTTAGCAGCCACAAACAGTCAAAGTGAGCACAACATCTGGAATAACAGATAACACATAAGGTGAATTAATGAAGGCCAATGATTGGCTGTGGAGAACACTGAAGGTAACAACTTTAGAAGGAGAAGGAGAAGTAGAGCGTCCCACATGGGTTCCAGCCTATAGACAGCAGGGTCAGTCCCCCGAGCATCACTACATTACCATGTCATCAGCATGACCCCTCACTTCCTTTATGTATGGGCTTCTGACCTTTGTGGCCACTTACAAACACTATGACAAATTCTGTACTTCAAACATTTGCCACTACAAGAGGTGTGTTGTTTGTACATGCTAATGTACCAAGAGCTTCAAAAAAAAAACAAAAAAACAAAGGAGCCTGCAAGACTATGAGAGACGATGATCCGTTATTAACACTCACCACAGGTTTAAATTGTGAGAAAATGGTCGAATCTTTCAAAGGTTTTAAAACAGGATTTTGTTTTTTATACAGTGTGTAAAACCCAATGTACACACAGTACTCTGCATCTACTCCACTGTTACTATCAAATATATGTCTTCTGCGGAGCTTGTAAACTCCTGGAGATGTTAGAACAACTATCCAGTGAACAGCAGCAGACACCACCCCACTCTGCTGTGTTTGGACCTTCATACAGTAACGCAGCCACATTTGAACGTGCACACAAAGCCATTATTGTCCATTAAGAAAAAAGAAAAAGCCCAAAGCATAACAGGTGCACTTTGGTTTAATGACAAGGAAATCGAGGCACTTTTCGACATGTATTTTCTACAAACACAATGCCTGAATTCTGTCAGATTCTTTTCTTGCAGTAGATTTCTTTTACCCTTTTAACAGTGCTTTCAATTTTTCTTTTTTTTCTTTTTTTTTTGAGGTGCCAAAAAAAACCCACTTACTGGTGTTTGTTTTTTGCTACAGTTTGTTATTGTTATTGTTGTTCCGGTTTATGAAATAAGAAAAATCAAATAACCTTTAATTACAGTTAACTGTTCATTATTTGTCAGGCAATCCTTGATTAATGATTAATGTGTGTGGAAATAAACAACCGAGTCATAATTTTCCTTAATTTATCAGCACAATAATTCCTGCTTCTGTGTTTTTCTGCCTTTCACTGTCGTTAAAAATATCTATCGACGTAGACGCAGAAGCATCAAAACTGCGTTGACTCATAATTCACGTTATAGGTGAATCACGTGTCCGAGCCTGTACCGCCACCTGCTGGTTTATGCTATAAATCACATCAGAGAGATTATGTGAAAGTGGGTTTATGATCTATGACGCCTTCAAATGTAAGAACGTAAACTAATACACATACCGATGGATTTTTAATTTGAAAAAATAAAAAAAATACATTTAATTTGTGCGATGGCAATAACTAATTGAAAATATCATTATTTAATGAATTTAAATTATATTTTGTAAGAGTGCAACACAAACAGAAGCCATAACAATAACACTAAACTCACTAAAGAATTGTTTTGTCCTCGTGAATTTTTCCAATTTTATTGTCAATATTTAATAATATTTGTGGATATTCTCAGTCACCCAGGTCATCATAATAATCTCAAAAGTAATTCCCTACTTTAGATTGCTTTTGCGATTCATATTCAACAATATATTATCATATATCTCGCAAAGAAACCCTCTCAGTTTTGCGTGTTGGATATTACGGAAGGCATTTGAACGCATCGGATTAATCTCCTCTAATCTGGGTAGAAACGTCACTAGGAGAGAGATCTGTAGAAACTGGTTTTTGGTCCTAAGCCGACACAAACACATGACAGCTGTGATCTGAGACAAAATGTCCATCACAACCTGCCAGAAGGTAACACTGCTGTCCTGCTCAGTTCTCTGTGTCTCTCTGTTCCTGCCCAGGATGATTTTACCCCGAGGGAAACAGGAGATGGAGCCTCCTGAGGGTAAGGCACTTCATCAGGTCACCATCCATCCACAGCTATCTACACTCCTGTTGTTGTTGTTTCTGTTGTTGCGCAGCAGAAAGTGCAACAGGCCTAAGCCATAACATTCTTCAAAAAATGTTTTTCCCATTGTGCCGTCATCATCTATAACAAATCCCTTATTGTCAAATGTTTACTGGTTTTATTTGATACTTGGTTATTTATGATTTTTTTCCCCTTTTCTCTCTCCTTCAGTTGGACCTGGGTTCTACCCTCAAGTCATGCATCGGTTGCAGCTTCCAGAAGACCTAAATGATGACGACATGCCCAAACATGGGGCTTTGGACCCTTTGTACTCCATGACCCACAGCGCAGAGGTCAGGGCCAAAGTCAAAGTCTTAGGACGAGGCGGAAAATCCAACCTGATGTCTCAGGTTATCCCCATATATGGCTTTGGAATCCTTCTCTACATCATCTTCATTATTTCCAAGGTAATCATGGTCTTGTGTTTTTTTAAACATTTTTCAGGATTTTCATAATCACCATTTTGAATTTTGAGTTCACAGTTAACATGTAAGAAGACGACGACCAAAACTAACTCTGGCACAGTCTTCAACACACCAGTCCAGAACAGATGTAGTAAGTACATACAGGGACTCTGAAGCATTGTCTATGATTATTTTAATGTATAGATTCTGAAATATCAGTCCAGATTGTGTTCAGGGGAAACATGAGAACAGACAAAAGCACAGTGTAGTATTTTTGGTTTTTATAATAATTCTCTCCCTTTTTCAAAACGTGATGTTAGAAAGCACCACCACTCGGATGAAACACCCCTGTGTGCATGAAATACACATTTAAATATAGACTCTGTTCAATAATTAATACTTTAATGTTATTCGTCTTCTCTCAGCCACCAAATATGACCTCACTGAGCTTCAGGAGAAGGTTCTAGAGACAGAGGCAAAGATGGAGAGGATTGTCTCAGGAAAGAGCAGTCGATCTGGGAGGTAACGTTTTCCCCTTTGGTTAATATTCGCTAAACTACTTTTGTATTCGTTTTTAGACAGAGTGATAGAGTTCGTAGATAATTACCATTTAATGTTGAGGAAATGGAGTGAGTGGAAATGCCTAAGAAATGAGGAAAAATGAGAACAAAATTGGAACACTTTCACCAAATAGATGTCCAAGGTATAATTATATGCACTTTATCTTGAGTGTTTGTGCTGCTCTCTACTGGCAGAAAGAGGAAAAGTAAAATGTCTACCTCAAAAAAGGAGGAGAAATTACTCAGACAACTTCAACAGTTCAAGCTGTTGATGCAAGAAGGTCAGCTGGAGGGAGCCTCTCCAGAGAAGGAGGCCGAGGAGGTGCCATACTGTGCTGACTGGGAAGGTGAACGCCCTCGTCTGAAAAGCTGTTCTTTTCTGACTGTATTTGCTGTCGTTTCTTCATATCTCCTCATGTGCTCCGACACAGGCTACCCTGAAGAGGCGTACCCGGAATACGATGAGCCAGAACAGAGGCTCGAATATGAGATAGTGAGAGTGGGAAAAATCTGCAAGCAGCCCACAGCTGAGGCCTTGGCTGAGAGGATGGAACAGGTCGAGGAGGAGGTCGTGGCGAGGAAGCTGTTCGTAGTGCAGGAGGAAAATGAGGAGGACGATGAAGTGGACGATGAAGTGGACGATGAAGTGGATGATGAAGAAGCAGAAGATGAATTGGAGGTTGAGGATGAAGACAAAGCAAAGCAAGCTGAGGAAAACATGGGAGATGATGAAGAGGAGAACGATGATGAGGAGGAGACAGACACAGAAAGGCGTGTGTTACTAAGTCCTCGTTTATCACGCCCTGCTGAGGAGAGAACACAGGAGAGACTGGGTCTGGAAGTGAGTAAAGAAATACAGGGTCAGAGGGGAGGGAAGAAGATCAGCTTTAGTGAACACCAGGATGTGTTCCGTTACCCCAGAGAGGGAGCGCATGAGCTTCAACGGGACGAGGAAGAGGAGGAAGATGAGGTGGTAGATGTAGATGAAGTGGAGGAAGATGAAGAAGAGGAGGAGGAAACAGAGGTAGATGAAGAAGAGGAGGAAGCTGATGAAGATGACCCAGTGATGGAAGCAGAGGGTCTGTTGTTCAGGAGTGATAGTTGCCTCAATCCTGAGGAAGAAGCAGAGGAAGACGAGGAAGAGTACCTGTTGGCATCACCTGTAGGTGGCAGTGGCTCACACGCAGACATAACAGGAGAAGTCGGAGTGAGTGGCCTGAGAATGAGGAACAGGAGAGAGAAGTGAAGTTTCTTCCAAAACTAAACTGTTGTCCTTCACACTAGGGGTTTAGAGGGGTTCATTTTTCCTCTTTTGGGTGAATTGAAAAATATTATTGGTTAGATCAGTGGTTCTCAAACTGTGGTACGCGAGTGCTCTCTAGTGGTATGCGGGGAAAATTCATATTTTCACATTTGTATTTTCAATTGAATAAATCTGAAACATACCATGAACAATTAATACAACATTTAAACATAAACATTTCTAAACACCTCTCCTGTGGTGGAGCTAACAGTGAAGGCCTCTGCTGCTGTATTCTAATGTTGGTCATCATGGTGGTACTCAGAGAGATCAGTGTTTTCTCAGGTGGTGGTGGTACAGAGGATAAAGAGTTTAAGAACCACTGAGTTAGATCACTACAGAAACAGAATAGTCAAATCAAGAAAACCTGTTCCTCGTGTATTGGCTCTGCACCTCACATCTCTGTGTTTTGACTAATTCAACATTTTTTATGAAAAAGCACTGACCACAAATATTTATTGGTTTTTAAATAGTCTAAACAATTAACTTTGTCAATTACAATATTTCTTCGTCATGTAACTGTTTAAGGTAAGATCCCCAGTGTGAGTCTTTGTAACACACACAGGCTGCCACAGGAGGCGCCATAAGGGACCTTCTGCATGTGAGCCAGACATGTAAAGCAGGCATGATAACCGCTGCAGTATGAACCATAGTGTAGCTCTTATTAATAGTTGTAACAACAACAATAATATTAACATTATATCTATATAATAATAATTGTGTACAGAGAGCAGGCAGGACCCAAACACAGCACTCAGGAGACAGTGAAACAGTCCAAACCTAAATAGTGCACAACAGAAACAAGACAAGACAGGAAGCACTATAGGAAACTGACCTGGAGTACAGGAACCACCGCGGTGACACAGGAACCATAATCACACCATGACTCAACAGAGTGAGGGAGAGAGGTACCAGGTGAGACCAGTGAGACACAGGTGAGGGTGATTAAACTAATTACCCCAGGAGACAGAGGCAGAAGGAAGGCAGACACACGTGGCAAATAATAATATGTTCACAAAGCAGTTTCTTTTAGCTGTATAAACTACTGTAATACTATTAAGGGTATTCATCTAAACCCATCTCTGTCTTGAGTGCACTGAGTACAAATAAGAAACACGAGGTAGAAGAATTCCAAGTATGTTCCTCGTGAATATATATACTGTATATATATTTATAGATGTTTTCACATTGTATGTTAGCCTCCAGTCATAACTAACTGTAATACCACGTTGTTCATCACTGTCTCCCACATACATAGTCATATGGACTATCCATTCATATTATATCTATTTATTTCCACTTAGGAAAATAGAAAATACATTAGTCTATGGCTTTGGGGAGAAAAGAAATAAAGAAAGTGGCAGAAATAAAATAAAAAAATCAGTCATCATTAAGAAAGTGCTGGATTTTTATTGTTTTTGTGAGAACAGAACACAGTTGGACTTCGAGATATTTTTCAAATAATTCCCTTTGATCAATTGCGCGCGATAGAGAGAGAGACAGAGAGAGAGGAAGAGAGAGAGAGAGACAGAGAGAGAGTATACCACCACAGTAAATTGTACACCATCCACTGTACATTACAACAAGAGCAATAAAAACGTGAACATGAAGGAAGTCTGGCTTCTGTACAAAGACAAAGGTCAAAAGCAGACGCAGTGACAGCATTCTTTATGTTTTTGTCCAATAGAAATGTAAGTAGTAAATAAGCAGATCACAGCTAAGAACAAGAGAAGCCTGTTTGATAAGTGTCCACAGTAACAACAGCAGATTCAGAGTCGTCTTTGCCTTCATTTAGCATTTTGTTAAATCTCAAAGTCATTAAATACAAAATACCATCACACATTACAGAGGATGCACCGCCGCGGTCGGAGCAGCAGAGATAACAGATGAAGAACAAGAATGGTGTCACAGTGTGATACAGAAACTTGGAATGGTAATCAAAGATTTAAGAAGATGTGAAATATGTATCAACTGTGGCAGATTCACACTTTTCTTACGTTTGTTCAGACAGTTTTTGTGTAGACTTTTTCATCAATTGAACACCATTAATACTTGTTAATTAACAATATATTTTTTTTTGGTACAGCACTTTAGAAGATACAGAGACAAAGTTGAGCCTGAGTGACATGAACATCCCGCATCATTATTTATGGTGTGTTAACATCTTGGGCCAAATCTGATCATTGAAGACTTTAACGACATGGGAGGAAGAATTCTGCATTATTTAAGACGCATTAACAAAGCCCAGTCTGTCAAAAAACATTTTTTCGAATTTATCCAGAAATGTTAAAATAACCCTTAGTGCACCTGAATGCATCAAAGTTATTGATTCATGTTCTACCTTTGGGGCAACTGAAATTGACCAGTCAAATTCTAAAGAGACTCTTTAAATTTAAATGCTTTTTAATAGTAGTTTTACACTATTTTACAAAAGCAAAAAAGTTTTAATAAAATAGATTGATTGAAGTTTTGTTTTTCTTCCTATCAGAAATTTTAAAAATATAAATAAAATAAATATTATATAATATTTAAAAATGGAGAAACTTTTTCATAGAGCTGAATAATTATTGGTTATTTCTCATCAACAACTTGATTAAAAATACATTCGCTGTTAACAATGCGTGTTCTACTGGTAACTAGAGAATTATTATCAGATGATCGCAGGTTCACGATGGTTCACTAAGCAAGCACCAAATTCCCCTGCTTCCCAGGGTGGCTTAAATGAGGAGAACAACATTTTGTTTTGTTTCAATGTGTCTGTCTTTGGGCGGTGACCAATAAAGCTTCTTCTTCTGTCAGACACACTGACGGCTCTGTAATAACTTGGGGCTGTATTCTAGCAACTGCTGCAGTCAAAATGGAGTATGATGATACAGGGAAAACTTGAGGATAGACATTAGTAAATATAGCCTGACTTATATAAAGGTTATGAAAGTTATTTTGTTTGGGTTTTTTTTTTTTTTTTTTGGTTATTTTAAACCATTTTTAGACAATTGTTATGCAGGCTTTCTGATCCCATATCTTCAGAGTTCACCACCACAACAGGGATGGCTGGAGGATATGCACACCGTCGTACGTCCTGTAAATGATCAATCCCCTCGTTAATGTGATGTGTCAGGGGCTAACAGTGCAATTTAGGCCTTCATTGGCAATAATGCAAATGGTGTCTGCTGACGTGCACTTTGGATAATTATCTTCTCAAAGTTCAGCTCTTCTAATCAAAATAAATGAACTTCCCTCCTCTAAAGTAGCCACAGGGAAACTTCTGCACGTGAAGACACACACAAACTCAAGCTCCTCTTACGCTGAAGTCAGTCGTTGAAGGCACAATAATGTATGTACAGCCGTTACCTCACTCACTACAGATTCAAAGTAAAGTGCACCACAATCCTATACATTCACATACTGTACATGCCACTGGCACAAGTGTGTGGACGCGCGTGTGGTTCACAGCACAGTGTAACCTTTGCCCTGATCAGGTGAGACCAGCTAACTGTATGCTAATACGGATACAGGAGATGAACAAGGCTGCAGCTCCACGGAGCCGAAAACAAAGGATGCAAATGACAACACAAAATAAAGAAAATAATAAATACATAAATAAGAAAATAAATACACAGTAACATGCAAGTGATCTTTTTTTTGTTGTTCATTTTCAATCACTATGTAATTAATACTCATGCTTGAGGAACCGTATCATTGTGTGTCACTTTGTGTGTGTGAGTCAGACGACATACTGTATGAACCGAGTCACCTTACAGATGTTCAGCTGTTAGTTTTACTATACAGATAAAGAATACACATAAAGAAACACTGTTTGATATACTTTGATGCCAGTACTGTATAAAATAACTATAGCTATTATAAAAAGAAACTGATTTTTTTTTTTTTTTTAAAGAGGACTGCTCCTTGTGCTTGTGTTCTCGGCTGACCAAGATCAGACTTCAGTCCCTCACCCACATGTACAAACATACACACACACATCTGCAAAACTTGAGGCCAGAGAAACATTTATGGTGGGACTTTGAAGAAGAAGATTATCAGGAATCTCCCTTTAATCCCATTCAATTCAGCAGCCCTTTCTTCAGGACAAGTGAGCCAGGTCTCCACTGAACTCCAGGCTGGGATCTACTCACAGGCTAGCTTGCTGTCGAAGCTGGAGAGAGCGATGGCGAAGGCTTGCAGGGCACACATGGGGTAGTTATAGTCCATGGTGAAGACGTCTTCTGCCACGCGGCCGAACTGCATCACAATGTAGTCGGCTGCAGAGGAGAGGACGAGCAGAGGACATGTTGATTTTCTCTGTTTCTTAGCAACAAAGCTGTAGCTTTGTTTAGATATTTATTATGTGAATGACAGGCTAATTGAAATACTGATTTCATTAGTTTCCTTTTCACTTTAACCAGTTTAACAATGAACTGTCAAGGACTGGGTGAGTGAGAGAGGCACTATATACATGCCCAGAGCACCAGGTGACACCAGTGAGACGAATGACTCACTAAGACTAGGGACAGTCAGACCTCACATCTGGTCCTTTTCTCTTCCACCTTGTGTAAGATTAATTTTTCCTGCTGTCACTGATGTACAGATGTATATTATCCCCAGTGAATCAATAATAGTTTTTCCCACCAATTAAGTGATAATTTTTCCACGGCACACCTAACGATTTCACAGTGGTTGTTAAACTCTGCTGTAAAATAATCTATTTTCTCCCTGTTGCTCCTCATTATTCAATCATTATTTTTTATATAATCACACAATTATCCATAATGGAAGGGACTTACGGTCATTGTCGTGAATGATTTGAAAATTCTTGACCGAGGCCTGAGTGACTCTGCCGTGGAAGTTGAGCACGTAAGACTGCGTGTCGTCGTTCCACACAGGCGTCTTGTTGTGCAGTTCAATCACGCTCTCTGTGTTTTTATTCTGCCACCTGGCCAGCAGGGACTCGTGTTCCTGCAGGGAAGACGTCAACTTCAGCTACAAACTCAGCCTCAAATCAACTCACGTGTCACTTGTTAAGTGCAGGAGACACATACATTTCTTGGTCGAATGGAAACTCTCTTGTGGTCCATGTTCATTCCGGGGATGATGACACTCATTTTGCGAGGTCCTTTGAATCCTAAGACATTGGTCTCCTAAGAAAATGATGAGAATGTTCAAATAGCTAACATTTAAATAGTACTATGATGAACTGAAACATTGGAGTGATCTGAAAAAGTGATTGATCGTCGTTGTGACACAGCACACCACTGCACACCACGACATGTCTGGATCTGGATTGTTATCTGTAAAAGTTAATATCATTGTCTCACTTTGGGAGACTGAAATCTATAAATCCATAAAATTGATTCAGTCTCTAGACGACAATGACTTCACTCTGGTTTTCGTTTAGTTTTTTTTTCCTTTTTAATTAAATTTTCTGAGTAAAAACTGAGATTGTATTTGCTGGTTTCCACAGTAACCTAATCTTATTCCACTTTGTCATGCTCAGTGGGTTATTGCGGCAACAATTGGATTTAAATCCAAATGACCATCGACGTTCTGGAGCTGTCCTTTTATGTATTTCCTTGGTTTGATCATTGACTGTAAACCACTGTTTTTCCAGTCTGCGACATCAATATTTTTTGAACAGCTGTGGAACAGAAGCACATTGATGGACTCACGTAGCAGATGGCTGCCAGTTCTTGACGAAGATTACTGGCTTCGAGACTGGTGGTGCTCTTTACTGGGTTCAAACCACTGTCATATACGGTAAACTTAGTTCCCATCAGATTTGACCTGCAAACAGACAAGAACAGGCATGAAATATCCAGAGGTTTCTTTACACTGAGTGACGATCTAGAGCAGTGATTCACAACCACTGTGCCGTGGCACACTAGTGTGATCATTAGGTCTCTAGGTGGCAGAAGATGGTTATTAAACCTAACAAAAGGTAATCAGAGTTGTTAAAGAAGATCTTTGTGAGTATCTTTCTTCAATTCCTGCCAGTATATCTGCGTGGTCTTTAACTAAACAGGAATACATTTTTAGTAAATTCAAACTAGAAGATTATTATATTTCATTACATATACGTTTTGTGAGTTGTTTTTTGTTGTTTGGTGGTGCGTCGTGGGGTTTTTCCTGATGATATATATGTGCTGTGGCTCAAAAAAGGTTGCGAAACACTGATCTCGAGTCTCTTCTCTGTAACAAATATTTACTGCAGTTATCATGAAACCAGGTACTGTTCACCCTGGACGGTTCACCAGTCCAACAAAGGGGCATGTAGTATCATCAGAGCGACCTTTTAATGTACTGTACTACTGTATGTATTACTACTATAGGAGGAAGAAAAAATAAATATATACAAATAAATATATGTAAAAGTGATATTTGTGATCCTTTTACATTTCAGCGTTTATCATAACCCCTTCACATCTTTGCACAATAGCTGCGAACAAAGACCTAATGCTGCCTTAAGTAGCCAATGAGATGGCATTATTTTGCACGTTTGTGACATAATATAATTAAATCAATACAAATAAAATAAATTCACGTCTCCTGGGGCTCTGGACAAAGGCCGTGTCTGGTCTGGACCTCTCTTAAGAATCTGAACAATCCCCATCTTAAAAGGTCAACACTAATATGAACGAAGATTTTCATTACAAGACAGACTGTGATTGACTTTGAGGCGCTGCATCGACCACTGCTCAGGATTAGACACAAAGAGCACAGAGCCATTTAGACTGCACAGCAGTTTCCATGGAACCACTCACACAGACAGGTCTTAAAGCTGTCTCCAGGGCTTTGGTTCATACAGCCTTCTTACTTTGACTGTGGTTGCCCACCCTTTATTAAGGTACTTTTAAATTATTATTTTATTTTGCAATTGATTTTGAATAGATTTTTATTTTATTGAAATTAACTGAGAAAAATGAAAAGAGAAATGTGTCTTTGTTTTTCAGCTTACATAAATATAACACCCCTGAATGACTATTGATGGTGTTTTTCTCCATTGAATCTAATGAAAACCTAAATGAATTAGTTCCTATTTCTCCTTAACATTTACGTTAAACTATGTTTTTCTGACTACTGGGAAAATCCTTCTCTTAAAAACATTTTGGCTAAGTCTAAATCAATTTATGGGATTTTTTCTTATAATTAAGTTTTGTTTTTCTAATTTTTTTTTCTTTCCAGGTGCACCGGATACTCCTTTTAAATAAATACATTTACTTAATACATTGTTTTTTTGTTTAGGGAAACAGTAAAGCTTTTATTTTTCTGAAGTAACTTTGTTTTGGTCAATGGTGTTGTCAAAGAAAAAGTATAAAAAAAGCCTTACCTTAACAATCCTCACTATTCCTAATAAAGGCTTTTACCTACGGTCTGTCTGCTTTAAAATAAATGTAGGACTGAACACTAAAACACTGACGTTTTACTAAAGAAATAGACAGTACAGCATCACCTGAAGCCTTTAACTGTCTCTGTCTCAATACATATTCACTGCAGCTGTCTGTCAGCAGTGATTGTGACAAGGTACACTGAGGAATTATCTGTGCACTTGTCTGTGTGGGGAGCCACCGAGACACTGAGAACTCACCTTAGTTTGCCAATAAAACTCTCTCCTCCTCTGGACATATCAGTGGGATCGATGGAGATGAGGTAATTTGATGTCTTACTCTTTTTCCTCTTCCTGCCAGCTAACAAAAACACCTGCGGAAGACCACAGCAGGAGCCAAATGTAAAATGAACTTTTCCTAAGTCCAAAAACTGAAGCAGTGTTTCATAGTTTCTTGTTTCATGACCCAGGTGGATTGACTTCTCTAACCTTCTTGCCATCCTCTCTCTCCAGATGAAGGTAGTAGGTGGGGTACATGCCTCTGTCCATGCCCTTCTTGTCACGTGTGATTCTGCACTTTACCCTAACCCCCTGGGGTGCGGGGCGCAAAGAAAACTCTTCGAGGTCGTCGACGTCAACAGCGGCGTCACTGACAGGTGGGGTGGGAGCCGAGGCCACCTCCTGTGGGTCAACACAGGTACCACAAGCTGAAGAAGCGTTGGACTGACAAGAGAGTGATGCAATCGAGCTGACTTTCATTAGCAGAGAGAAATGGGTCTGAGGATCAAACTGTCCTGAGAGAGCTAGAAATAGCACACGTGGCCTATAATAATGACCTGGTGCGCTGACAGTAGGTGTGAAGAGACGGATAAAGGAGGATGGTCTCTGTTGACATTTCACACAGAGAGTAGCAGGCGGCAAACAGCTTTGGATTTGCCTGGATTTAACATACTAACACTGACTTAGGAAAAAACAACAATATCTCCTGTGTTTGATTTGAACGTTTGAGGCGATGTTTGAAGGTATGGTTTGGTAAAAAGTCACTCACCTTAGTGGACTTCTTGCTGGTGGCAGATCCTGGTCTGGTGATGCTGTTGAGCTGCGAGGAGCTGGAGCTTATTTCATCATCGTCATCATCTTCTTCATCAAAATTCATGCTGCTGGATATACCTTCACAGAGACACTCACAGTGACTCTCAACACAGAGTAAAGTAATGAAGAAAAGCACAAACTCTCTGCGTGTTAAGTGCTTTTCTGTGTCTCACTTGGTGATCTGCAGGCCAACAGAGATGCATTTATCGCTCAGCAGTCATCCAACTGCTTCACTAAACAACCAGAGTAGTCGGATTCGTTGGCGAGAATGAACGTTGCCGTTTTTTGCTGCTCGTGTAGGTGTAGGTCTGAACATTCTGAGCTCAGAGAAGCTGCAGCCTTTGTGGTCCAGAGTCACGGCTGATGTGTGACACGTACCTTTCTTCAGCATGGTGACGCGCAGATCCTGTTTACTGTGCGACTGAGTGCAGCTCATGACGGGCTCCCCCTCGCTTTCCTCTCCCGTGGAGTGGCCCACCGTCAGGATCTGGATCTGGCCGTCGTCCAGCTGGGAGGCCAGGCCGTCAAGCGCTGCAAGAAGGAACTCTATTAGGAAACAACTAAATGTTGTTTCTTTCAGTGATCAGCATCTAATCTAGAGCATGCATTAAATGGCCAAATAAATCCTAGCAGAGAACAGCGGAGGCAGCAAAGAGAGCCTTTAAAAGAGAACTAATTAGGAGGGGACCATAAGGTCTGAACAGACAAAGCAAAACCAGCACAAATCAATAGAACACTGCAGAACAGCAGATCAGTAGAAAAAAGAGTATTGTATCAGATAGAACTGTTGATTTAGCTTTAACCTAATATAGTCTTGTGAATATTAATCAGCTGTTGCTGCTAAAACTAGGGGTCTCAGACTCAGATGAGGACCACCGCTGCTACCATCATTCCACTGGAGCACCGCATCAGTGTTTGATACTTATTCTTTCAATAACCCACGAAAGCCTTTTAATAATTGAAAAAATATTTAAAAAATGAAAGATTTCAAAGGTCTATATCTCAATTTAAAAATGAAAAAATAAATGTAAAAGATTTCAAAGGTCTATATCTCAATAATTTTATTTACTTGACATATAAAAAAGTATATATATATATATATAACTTCATGACATACTGTATTTTTGACAGATGCGACTATACTCCAGTGTGACAGTCTGGAAAATACAGTACTGATTTGATGTCAGATTTTCACCATGAAAGTAACATTACACACGTTATTGACATACTCACCCACACACACACACACACACACACACAGTTTACCTAAGGAGTAAGAGAACGGGGAGGGAGGAGCGGCGCTAAGCTACAGGTTCAACAGACTCGTTATTCTGCACCACTCTGTGATGATTGGTTGAAACTGCCTCACCATCACACTACTGCATCGTGCTGTCAGACACCAGTACTGCACACGCACATTTCTCACAAATGTCAGCAGCGTTTTGAGTAGTTTCATACCTGCGTATTTCGATTTGTCAAATTGTGTACAGATTGACGGATCTGCATCTGACATCCTGTGGATTCTCCTTAAGTATTGCCTCCAAATGAAATCTTTAATTAAAAATGTTGTTACTG